TACTTTGAATTCGCCCCTGCCTCTGGAGCAAAGTTATAAGATGTTTTCTAAGGCAGAGCTGTAAGTGCCCGACAATGAGCAATGTTTGTTTCCTTTCACTCAGTCGCAACATGACACCAATATAGATAGAACAAACGTCTTTTGTGGCTTCTTAAATTCATTCCTGAAGAGCAATTAGCTGTTTTATTCTCTAGTGAGAAGAGATATTGTGTGCAAATTGTTTTCGAACTTATTTTTATTTAAAAATCTAGAGCAGCATGCTATTATCTTTCAGTTATAAGATACAACAAATTCTAAGATTAAATAAGCATTTCAGTGCGAAAGCTTCTTCAAGTACTTTACGCAACATGTGTGAATGCTTTAGGAGTGGTATCTGGAAAGCGTCAATCCCTTTCCAAGAACTTTGTAGAGATCATTAGACATTTTATTTTGGAGCAGGCATGGTGAAAAAATGTGCAATGCTATTGCCAGAAAACGAAATCCGGACATTCCGACTGCCACCCAGATGCGCTTTCCAGCTACACCACGAAGGCATGCGGTAAGGAGGGAAAACATTTACACCTTCATGAACTAAAATTCGTTCTAAAAAAATAGTGAGATTTCTTTTCCCAAACATTTCTCTAACACGCCTCAGTGGCAAGAAAGTTGGCTATTAAAAGCGTACGTCTTCTGGGATTCATAGAGAAACTCAAAAAGAGGAGCTGATAAGCGTCTTCTTTCTGAGACATCTTCTGCGTCATATGTTGGATGTAGAAGGATTAGATTTGTTTTCCAGAAGACTGAATATCGGGAGAAGGCAAATATTTTGTTCTCTTTATTAGTGTTATTATAAATTATTTGTATAAATATCTTATGACATATATGCAATTTTATTTGAATTATTTTTGACATGACATATATGCAATCTTATTTGAATTTTATTTGAATTTTTAACATCAGATATAATTACGAATATTGTGTGAAATTCGATTGCAATGTCAGGTGGATCTCATGGCAAGAATGTCTCAATCCAACTTCCTTTTATGTAAACAGTATTTGAAACTATAATCATTTTCAAAAACAATAAAGGTAAGTTAAAGATCCTTTCTACGGAAATGGTAATGATAATGCATTGGATTTCCTTCTATAGAATGAGTAGGCGTTTCATGTTATGGTTGACCAATAGTGGACATAATCATTAATTATTAAAATTAGGGAAGGTCTCTGCGACCTTCTAACAGCAATATCATTTGTTATCGGAACGTGACTTGGAAGATATTCCATTATGAGCTTCATTTTCCGATGGACTTATTCGATCCCAAACACCGAGGTTAACGTAAACAGTTTTCAGAACTAATGGCGAAATCTTGATTTCAAATTCGGTAACTATTATTGCTGATATATTAGAAAGAAAATCTTTCGTATTTACATATATGAATGAAGGACATGTTGTTAAAAGATCAAAATTAATAAGACCTCTTTCTAATTTTATTTTCGGATTGGACTCTCCGCACTAATGTAATATTTTCGTGGCTACCGCATTATACTGTAATCTGTGTTAGCAATGAATGGTGCAAAATCTTAAGTAACAGATTTGAGAGAGAATATTTTACATACTTTTATTATAATTTAAATTCTACTTTTGCAAAACACATAAATAGCACATATGAAAAAGTTCACTTTCAGATTATAATAAAATACAAACATATTTTTATTTCGAATGGCGAACAACTAAGAGATAAAAAAGTTATTTTTTAAATAGAACATTTAATAATAAAAAGTTTTGTATAATTTTTTAGAAATATTTAACGAAGGAAAATATTAGGCAACCTTTGAGAAATCAGGATAGCGTTGGTAGTGTTTATGCAATGCGCATTTCTACAAATAGGCCCAGTAAAATAAATATTAAGTTGAGGAATAAAATGCATTTTAAATATATCTAACTGTATGTTTTGTTTTTTATGGGTTCTTTTCAAAATGGACTTTTGATCAATATTTTCAGTAGGGATGTTATGAATGAAAAATTCAAAATTAATACAATAAATTCAGACGTAGGAGAGTCCTGACAACAGTAAATGTGTTGTCATTTTAAATTATTCATATACAAGATGTAATTGTTTGAGTTTTAACTTTTAAGCAGAAATTATGAGAAATGGCTGTAAGTTTTTTTAAAGCAGAAGTAGTGCGTCCCATCTCTGAAGACACTAGTTTGAAGTTCCAGCTAAACCATTCTCTATACACATAAATTATATAAAGAATAAAAATCAAAATACAAAATAATTTAACTTTTTGCATTTATTTGGGGTACCTTCAAATGTTTCAGCCTCATAAGATCAGATTCACAGTTGATTCTGATATGCGCCTTAACTAAAAGCCCACAGTTTGTAAAGAAATTTTACTTTTACTAGGATAGATAAAAAGTGAATTATTTCTATAAACACAGCTCTTCACGCTTGACAACTTAAGGCACTTTGTTTTTAATTGGGATCTATGGCTTAGGTTCAGAAATGAAAAGCGCAGATGCCTGAATAGAGGGCAACCAGAAATAGTAATTAAATAATACTAATATGCAATACGTGAAATAATAATAACAATAATAAATTTAAAAATTCAATAATAACTCAAATTGAAATTTAAATTTTGCAATAAAATCCTTCAGTTCCTCTGTTTAGTCCTCAAAAGTAAAGGTGGAACTATCGTGTTCGAAGTATTAAATATTTAAATCTAAAAATAATTGAAAAATGCTTTTATAATTTAAAAAAAGTTATTCATTTATAATTATTAATAAAAAATTACCAATTTACATCTTTTTTTTTCTACAGACTGTCTAGACGATGAATTCGACGTCTCAAACGCCTTAATTATAGCAAACAAACGACACTACAGCCATTGGAATTTTAATTAAAGATCTCGTCGTGGAATGGCGACAGCTTATACTTTTCAGAATGCGATTTTGTGCGAATGCGAACTTCGTCCCAGTATGAAAAATGAAACCTGATTTCGGGCTTTGAATTTAAAAATTAAATTTTATTAGATAAAAATATTTTAAAGAAAAAGGTATAAGTTAATTAAAAAAGTATTATATGATACAGATATTTTTACTTTTTAGATTTCATTCCTTTCAGCACAACATGCAGTACCCATTTCTTATATAAACATTTTTAATCGCATTATAAACGAATGAATCTAGCATCAGTTTTTGCACAGATTAAGTAATTAAACTGTTGAGTATACAGCCATCGGAAGAGCCTGTATTAGGATTTTCTTAGAAGTAATTTCTGAATTTCGGTTTGATTTCGAGATTTTACTAAGATTCAAGAAATTATTGCATTTTGCTTTAAAATAATTTTCAGTAACTTAAATAATGGCTTATCTTGGAATTATAGGTAAAATCCTAGCATACGGTAATGGCTTGGTGCGATTTTTAAAATTGTCGCCAACACCAAAATTGTTGACTTGTTTACAGCGAATCATGAATACCACGTTTATTGCTCATCATAATGTCGCCAAAAGTGGTCAAATCCCGTATGTACAGTATACTAGGATTAAACTGAATTATATTATTTAGTACTCCCTTATAAAGTTGAAACTTATCCGTTAAATCTCATTTCTGATATCGCGTGAGTAATTTCTAATGATGTATATCCTATACTTTTTATTTTTAAACTGCGAAAGCCTTGCAGGAATACAAGATCATATTTCCTCTCATATTTCAGTATTTTAGATCCTATATTTTAAAAACTTACCATTTCATATGACAGCTTGAAATAACATCTACCAGATTACATTATACCTTTTCGTATTTCCGTAAATAATTAAAATCGTTTGTGCATTCTGCGTTGATCTTTATAATGGTATAACTTCACATAGGTTTTTTTATAAATACCTTAAATCACCTTTGAAAGGTTTCCAAACCAAGCCAGAAATATATTTTAAAATCATTCTAAATAAAATTTTAATTTATGTTTTAAATGAAATACAAAAGATTTAAAGAAAGTTGGAAGTAATATTTCATCAAAAATCTGAAATTTAGGAAGTTTTTTCTACCGGAAAAAAACAACCTGAAAAAAAAAATGCAGATATCTTTGGCTTATATTTTGGTAAAAGTAATAAGATTAAATTTGTAATGTTGATATCTTGATCAATAGATATTCATTACCAAAATAAAATTTGTTCTGACTTGGCTATTTTAGTTACGCAGAAGAAGAGTGATTCACAGAATTACCATAATCGAGATATTGTGTTAACAAACCCATTCCCACTTGTAATGTATTCTAGATTTTCTTTTGAAATTTCTTTTATTTAAAGGACGCGAAAATTTTCATATGGAAATGGCGAATGATAACTGCGTTCTGATTCAGTCTATCTTCTTTACTATGAAATTCCTACTACATGAACTTACCATGAAAACATAAAATGAAAGAGAAAATTATAAAGTCCATTTTATGTAAATAGATAATTATATATTTACATCCTGTATCAAACAATAATGATGAATGGCATTCAATGGTTAAAGGAAATAAAATTTTGATGTTTATTGAATAACGAAGAAAAATATTTTATCCCCGAAAACTGTGAACAATGAATTTTCGGCCATGAGAACAGCGCTATAGACTCCTAATCACCAAAATCAAAATTTCCAAGAGGGAATGAAAGTTTGAACAAAGAGGCATTTAATTTTTGCGAAGATTTAGGTGAGTACATCACCCTAATACCCTACAAGCAGGTTTCAATGCAGTAAAAGATCTTCATTTTTTTTTTTTTTTTTTTTTTTTTTTTTTACTTCCAGTTCTGGAAACACTATGTATAGTGTTGTTAAAAGGTTTTCTAGCCTCCTCAGAGAGAAATCATGGATGTTTATTTTGTAAAAAGACAAAATTTTAGCTTTTCCAAGAATAGGCACACCTACAATAGAAATTTTGCGCGTGTTCTGGTAAAGACAATTTTTTTCCAAGGCCTAGAATGATCATAACTCCAAATAATTTCAGAATTCCAAAATGAGCAATAAAAGCATAATTTACCTGTCCTACTTGGTGCAGTGGATGAAGCAACGCTTACTATTTTTCTGGGTGAAATGGCATCTTTAGTTGGCGTGGAAGCTTCCTAAACAATAATTACAAAAACAATTTAATATTATGGATAAAAAAATAATCTAAAACATATTGCATGTAACGTGAAACTAATGTAATATAAGCATTTTAAAATCATTTTTCCACTTTAAAAAGTACATTATCCAGTGATGAGTTATGAAAGTTTTACAAGTTTTAACTTCGTATCATAAAAACAAAATATAAACTTCTAATTAAATGCTTTACTTTTTACAAAACAAAAAAGTACGATTTACTGTACAGAAAGAATAAAACAAACATTTGTTGTAATTCATGTTTATGTTGAACGTTAGAACCATTCAATGTCACATTCATTAAAGAACTGTTTAGAACATGTCCTGTAAATTTCTTGTTTACTCTAAAATTAGACACAAAAAACATGCTGTTCCTTAACTTTGAGGCCCGCGTATATTCCGAAGAGTCACTTTTGTAGAGACCTTTCCAAGAGAAATTCGCACATGTTTACTAACGCATGATGAAACCTGTCAAGATCTCATAAAGCCAGGACTCTCACATGATAGAAATAGACTCCAGAATCCATACAATGCCAGTGTTTCGGGACATTAACCAATCAGTCAATGGTTGGCTATTTATTTAAAAAATTAAATACTTGTTTTGATTTTTATTAAATATTTTTAAAGCTATTTTAATAGGCCAAAAGCTCATAGTACATACCAAAATATATAAAATATACAATAACAGAAAACAAAGGAATGTGGTTATGGGAAAAAAAACAGAAATGTTTCCGCTGCACAGGACTGCATAGAAATAAAAAACATTTTAAACATATTTAGAGTTTTTTTCTATTATTTTTTGTTGGTAAATGAGTAAAATTTATGTTCGCATCCTGGCTTAGAAAATTTCTACGTAACTATGTAAACAGCGCAATATATTTTTAATCAGTAGAGATATCTGCGCATTTTGGCCAGTTTATTGCAACTCCAAAGCTGTTCGCAGTTTTCTGTGTCATTTACTTACATGAAACGAGAAAGCTGAAAGTCGACTTTTCGATCATATCCTTGCAGGAAACACTGACCTTACGCTGTATCAAGTAAAGTGAAAACTAAATAAAGAAAAAGAGTGGGTTTAAGTTAGTGTCTGAGATGCAGTTATGCGCTTATGACTAAAAGAACGATTTTACAATTATTTTATAAATTTTGGAAGTGAATTCATAAGAATTTCAAGAAGAAAAATTTAGGGAAATAATACAAAACATTTGTTTTCTCAAACTAGCAAAATCTTAGTGTATCAGACGATTCTTCTGCTGTACCAAGTTCGTAAGACTTCAGGAAGTTATCAAAACAATATGACTCTAGATAATAAGTTCAAACTGCAATTATTAGAAAAATCGTCATAGTTATAGTCATATTATAGCTATAAAGAAGACTATGACTCTACGGGCATAAATATATATTAAAGTCATATTAAAGTCATAAATAACAATATAAATCTGCGGAAACGATAACAAATCAGAATTGCAATTGCTACATAATTTGACATCTATAGTTATATTATAGTTATAAATTACAATATGACTCTCCGGACAAGATAACAAGTCAAAACTGCAACTGCTAAAAAACATTCGTCATAATTATAGTCATAAATAACAATACGACTTTACGGAAAAGATAATAACAACTTAAAACTTCACTTGTTAGAAAATTCGCTATAGATTCGTCCTTACTATTCTTCAATTCTTACACTATGCATGTACTCATGGGCTGTCTTTTGTCTCAGCTTTCAGCCATCACATTGTCTGACCAATGTAGCGCAAGCAAAAGGGGTGATAATGGTATTTTGTCACAACCAAGAGTAAATCGTATTCTTTTTTAAAACCAGTGGAAAGTGCACTTAAGCTAGCAAACATTATCCAGCATATATTTTTAGAAAAGTTTACAAAATAGAAAGTCTTATTTATGCTTTCACAGACCGGCACATTTTATAATATACAAATCTAGAAATGCAACATGACAATTTTCATAAATAATACAGAAATTAAAATGTTATATTAACTGCAGTTTCTCTGAAATAGATACCGGCATTATCTATCTAGCAAAAGTGCAACCACTGAGATGTTTTAGTTACAGTATAAATCATGCAAATTTTTATGCGGCATTTTTTTAGTAATTTACTATTGAATGAAATAAAATTTTCATTCGAATAATAATTTCAGTTATCATGGTAATTCATTATGTTTTAACAATAATAACATTTGGTCATCTGACAGAAATTTGATTTCTACAGTGTACTAAAACTTTTCCAGTGCACAATGCCGTTTCATTATACAGAAAACGCAATAAACCATTGTGCAGCTGAGTATTCCATACATCGTATAAACGTATAGTATTACCACAATATGTAACAAATATGTTTGTTAATAAGCCCTTTTGTATTCCTTCGAAAGTGCGTGCGACTTATATCTCGGGTAGCATCAAGTGAAAAATATTGCATTGCTCCAATGTCAAATCGCATTATTTAGTTAGACAAACTTTAAACCTAAATTTTAAAATGATTTACATTAAAACATTGACTTGCCTGTAACATAATCTTACATATATATAAGCTTGATATTAAAGACTTTAATAAGATAAATAATTTGAATGCTACAGTTTAACACAAAATTGGGTAAATATTTTTGCTTTCAGCTAAAGATTTAAGAGATAACTGAACTGATAAACTATCTTAATTATCATACTTTTAAATATTAGGTTCAGAATGTAAAGTGTGCAGTAGCTATTTAAATCAAACAGGCATTTTAGAGGAGGGTAATAAAATATTCTGGGATTCAGATGAATGCTATGTATAATTATAATGTCAAAAATATAATCTTAAGATTATTTTTACAAAATTTTTTCGAACACAAAAAATATCTATGGTTTCCATTACTAAGGAGATTATTTATTTGCTAATATGGAACTGGTGTTAAAGAATAATATAACTTGTTAATAGTTCTTCTATGTTGCTTCTTTTGCTACGGTAAACTAAACACTTGCATTAAGAAATAAAAGTACTCTTAGTTTCTATTTAATAAATAATTTTATAATAATTTATCAATATATATGAGACGCGATATATATAGAAAAACTTCTTTTGATAACTTGGAAGCGTTTCGCTAAATTTTAATATTGGTATGTTTTTACAACAATGTTTAATCGCCGTACACCAGAACAAATTATTTCTGCAGAGCCACTCAAAAGCAACGATTTTAAATAACATTTAACCCATCACTGCAGCCGCTAAATATTAGTGACCATAATCGTGCCTTATTCACTATCTTTATGACTTTTAGCTTATAAATTATGACTTTATCTTTTAGTCTTTATCTTTAACTGATTTTTATATCTAGTCTCGAAAACGATAAGTATACAGTGTAACATATTTGAAGCAACAATGATAAATATATAACACACAAATGAATAATTAAAACAAAAAGATGAAACACAAATGAATAATAAAGGAAACAAAAATAAATTACATTAACCTTTTTTTCAGTTAGGAGAAATTTTGTTAGAAAATATATTTTAATATTACAGAACAAAAGGAAGACAAATTGAGTGGCAATATTCCATGCCAAAATGGTTCTTTATTACTCTTTTAAGAAGAAAATTACTTCGCCGTCATTGGTAGATAACATCTTATGACAGAATGAACACATTTAAAGAAAAAAATTACTACCCCACAGGCAAATGAGCGATTGGTCATTCCTCTCAAAAGTTTGCGCGTGGATTCCCACAGATTTCGTAATTCATCAAGATGGCGGAAATACCCGTGATGCATGTGCTATAATTCAGGGTCACTAAACTAAAACCTCTTTTGCCTTCTTCCATTCATGTTTCAGATTCGTGAAAGGACTTAAATAGTCTTATCTTAATTTTAATGGCTATTTGCTGTCTGAATTATAATCGAATTATTATTGTCCTTATTACGGAACTAATCTCTTTAAAGAAAGGAAATTCAAGGAGATAGAGGAGACCATGTGTGATTACTTTTGTCCAAATGTTTTAATAATACACCCGCTTAAATTTTATTCTCTGATTTTATTTATTAATTTTTATTATTTCACAATTTAATTTGCGTGCAAGTTTTCCATATTTTGCCTATCCATCACTCATACCATGTATGCAATAAAAAAGCAAATGTCGGCATTTTAATTTGCCTACCGCTTTGTAAAAAGCGGAGTATATATTATAGGATATTTGCTATATGATTTTGAGCAGTGTTTTTAGAAAGTTTTCCAAACTATCGATATTTATCGTAAATCGGTAAACATTATCAGATCAAAAGAAAATATAGCTTAGCAATTTAAAATACAAATTTGAATTATTAAATAAGGATTACTTGATACATTGAAAAAAAAAACATAACACTTAGATTCTTCTTAAATTTTTCTGTAATATTTTGCGCTGTCCTTCTCCCTAAATAAACAGATATCTGTTTTAGCTTAAAAAAACATCCCAGAATTGCGGAGAATCGGTTTCGTGCAACCCTCAGCAACAGCGGCTCATCTAGGAAAGGAATTTCCTCGTTATTCTCTTTAGAAAAGTTTCAGCAAAATTCTGTATTCCCGCAGAAATTTTACCGCAGTGTCTTCTATTGCTGCCGTATTCCAGGAGCTCATATTTTAGAATCAAGTTGAAGGGGGGAAAATATCTCGATTTGTTTAAAACAACCGTTGGAACTTGGAATACAACAAAAAAGAACGCATATGAAAAGGCCAGCATTTACTTAACTGAAGGACTTTGCGGCCAGAGTTTGGTACTTTCTGAAAATTTGGTGACTTCTACTAAGTGTAGTTGCGTTGACATGTAAGTATCCATTAAAATTAATTACGGTGAAATTTTTTGTGGTGACCATATTTCTAAGGCGACACCCCTCTAAAAATAACTAGTATTTTTCAGAGCGTAAACAAATACTTGTACTCGATATTACCTATCTAAAGCAGTCACTTTGAAGGATGATCAAAATCATCTGAAATGTGGAGAGGGGAATCTCAGC